GACCACGCGCACGTAGTCCCAGTCCAGGTAGGGAAGGCGGTCGGCCCCCGGCGACGGCGTGCGAGGCTCAGGGCCGCCCGAGGCCGCGGAGAAAGAGCTGTAGGCGGAGTCCGCGCGCAAGGACAGACGCCGCAGGTCCAGGCTGCCAGTGGAGGAGGCCGGGGAGGCGCGGTCGCCCCTCGGACCCAGGGCCTCCATGGCCACAGATGGGCACTGAGGCTGGCTGGCTCCCTGGGTCCTGGAACAACACACGTAGGGTGGTGTGTAAGGCGCTCTTGCTAAGGGTCAGGACAGCCTGCCGGCCCCTCCACCACGAGAGCCAGACACATGTCCCCTCCCTGGCCACATGGTCCCTAGCGCCGGCGCCCCTCCTCCCCCAGATTTCGACGGAGTCACCGTCGGCTTAGCGGTGGCATGGGCCGTAGGACCAGCCAGCCCCAAGGAGCAACTCTGAAGGTTTAGGGCCTCCACCCTAGGAAAGGAACCGGAGACCTGCTCATTCCCTCCCAGCGAACTCTACCCTGATACCCCCTGGGGCGCTAAGAATGTACCCATGCTCCTTTCCTCTCCAACCATGTTCCACCCAGGCTGCTTCCTGGCCCTCTGTTAGCTCCTCCGTGTGCTCTTCCCCTGACAAACAATGGTCAAGAATGTTCTGAGATCACAGGGGGTGGAGGGGTAGGACAGCCAGGGCAGAGGCAGAGGTAGCTGCCTAGCCTCACTCCCTCCTTCTGGGCCTGTGAGGTTCCAGGTGCTTTATGTAAATAAATCTTGGTCCCCACAACTGCTATCTGTATCTTACAGAGGAGAATACTGAGGTTCTGAGTGGGAAATGATTTGCCAGGGACACACAGCTGGCAGAGCCCTACCTGGAATCTAGGCCCGCTTCCAAGTTCACTGTGGCCAGAATCAATTTCCTAGAAGCAAACCCTACTGAAGCCAGTTTACCATGCCCCCTGCCCAGAAACGGCCTAAATCTGCCAACAAAGCCCAGATTCCACTGTGGAAAACAATCACACCCACCTCCCCACAAACTGTTGGCAGATTCCAGAATAATATGGCCCCTGCTTCTAAGACTGCCTTTTGTCCAAAATGACTGGATGATGCCCCCCACCCCTGCCCCCTTTGCCCTCCTACTGTGCTTCTCCTACTGGACTTAGCTTAGAAGTCTCCTGACCTTTGGGGATCCCTACAGTGCCCCAAGCCTCCCCCATCGCATCATCCATCACTCCACACTGTGACTGTGGCTTGCTTAGGGGTCCCTTCTCCTAGCTCCACCCCATGCTTCCTCAGGACAGGCCCTGCTCTATTCATCACCATACCCCCAGTGCCTGGCACAGGGCCTGGCACGTGGTCAAGGTTAAGTATTTTTGAATGGCAAGAGAAAGAACAGACTTGCAGGGAGTAGATGTAGGGGCGGTCTCGGTAGAGAAAGAAGAGGCTCCTCCTATGCACCCTTCTCCCCTCTCTATTCGTCTTTCTGTGGACAGAATGGGTGAAGCACTTGCCACCATGGACACTGGCCAGGGTACTCATGCATTAAGAGGTACGAGCAGAGCAGGCAACACAGCTTGGAGCAGGCCTGGCTGGAAATCGATACTTCCCCAGTGCTAGAAAGTGGGGTCAAGGGTAAGAGTTGGATGGGTGTGCCTGGGTCGGGGGAGAGCAACTTTGAGGCTTGGGAACCTGGGGTTCCCTATGAATTATGGGAACTGGGGGTGGGGGGTCTTGCCTTCCCCAAGCTGCTTGGTAGTGAGTGCAGAGTAGGGTGGCCCCAGAGTAGGGGTGGGAACCAAAAAGTGGTCTCATCTGAGCCTCCTAGACACTATTTGGAGCTCAGAGTCCCCTCCACCCACTTCCCTGAGGCCCAGGACATTACCGATTACTGGTTAGGACAAGAAGGGGGGTTAGTGATAGCCCAGGAGGGGCACTGAACCGAGGACCAGAACATCTTGACATCACCCACCGGGGGGCATCTTTATGCCCACTAAGCCAAGCCCTGAAGGCTGGCCCTCACACTTAGGCTTGGGGATCTCTTTTACAAAGTGTTTCCACTCTAAACTTGAGAACAAGAAGCTCCTCTGAAGCAGCTCCTAGGAGGGCGGTAACCTCCTCTAGAAGTCCACTGGCTGCTCAGACACCACCCTTTTCTCCTCCTAGTTCTTCTGAGCTCAACTAGAGAGCCCTATTTACCCTGGCTCATGCCACCCATTCTGCCCATTTTTAATTGCTACACATGTGCCAAATACACTAGAAAGATGTTTCCTCAAAAAAGCCCTTGAAAATCTCTTATTTGTGAATTACTGTGTTAACAAGGAACTCTAAATCACCAAATAAAAATAGCTTGAACGAGCAATAAAATGTGCATACATGTCTGTTTTCTTATTAACCCTAACTTGTCTCAAGGATGCTTTTGCATTGGTGGTTGCATCAGGTTGATGTCTGTGTAGGATGTGCACGTAGGATGCTCACACTGTGTCCTTTGAAGAACCTACTAAGCTAGGTTGGCCCAGCTGCTTTGGTGTGTGTTTTGGGACCTCAGCATACAGCAACAAGGAGTCTTCATACTTGTCTGACAGCAGAGAGCCTCCTGCAGTCCAGCCAGCCCCCGTGGCTGGGGGTGGCCTTACCTCTTAGCCTACTTAGAGGTAGTGTGGGCAGGGCTGAGGAGCACATGCCTGCTGCTGAACAGAATTTCAGAGGCTGGAGCACAAAAGGCTCTGCAGGCATTTTGCCAAGCCTTGCCAGAGCAGAAGGTACAGCGTGGAATCCCAGCTAGAAAGCCACCAGATTGAGGTCCTGGGAATGGGGGGAACATTCGAAATATGCTTGCACCTGAATGAAGGAGTGAGAGAGGAAGAGGAGACAGAGCAGTTCGATGTTCAGCTAGGGGACTGGGAGGTGGAGGCACGGGTCTGAGGGTTGGGGATTGGCCACAGGATCTGGGGCCTGTGGGCTCCTCAGTGTCTGTGACGAGACTGGCAGCAGTTAGGGTGTGGCTCTGGAGCTTGGCAGGGAGAGTGGCCCAGGCAAGACCCAGGTTTTTAGTTAGAGGTTGTTGGGAAAAATAGATGAAGACAGTTTCCGGTGGATAAAAATCACACCCCGGCAACGGGGGCAGATCCAGGAGAGGTGACTGAAGGGGCACAGGAGAATGGACGGCCTTACGTGCAACAAACGGTCAGGGTTTAAATCATACCTCTCTTAAAGGCCACCTCACATCTGGCCTCTCCGTGGAGGGACTGTCCTCTCCAGTACCGGGCTCACTATGAGGGCGCTGTTTGCGTGGCAGTCTCTCTGCCAAACTGAATCGCTGGGTCATGGGCCGCATCTCGAACCCCAGCATCCTCGGCTAGGTCTAGCGGGGCGGGCGTTCTGAAAAGTCCCTCTCTCCCAGGCCCCAGCGCTCCCTCCTCTAACCTGTCCGTGCTGACTGTGCAGCCCACGCACCTGCGCTCGAAGTGAGCGATCGGTTCCCAGGGCTGGTCGGTCTCTGCAGCCCAGAGGCAGCATCTCCAGAGGCCCTAGTTCGGTGCCGGGCGCGGGAAATGCAGGATGCCGGTGACACCCGGGGAGAGGCGGCCGAGGGCGTGGACCGACCAAGTTACCTGAGGCGTCAAGCTCTGGGAAGCGAGGCGCGGGAAGAGGAAAAGCGGTGCGGGCCCTGGCGACCGCAGGGGGCGGCAGAGTCACACGCTGCGGCGGGAGCGCGGGGACCCGAGGACGCCGGGAGAGCGGATGGCCGCCGGCCGGCGCATTTCTCGGCCTTTCCTGTTAGGTTCACCGTCGGGCA